ACCCACTGGGCTCCGGCGATCCTTCTGCCTCAGCCTTCCGAGTAGCCGGAATTACAGGCATGTGCTACCACGCCCGGTTGATTTTTTGATTTATGGTAGAAATGAGGTCTCGTTTGCCCAGGCGGGTCTCGAACCCGCGGGCTCAGGCAATCCACTCACCTCAGCCTCCCAAAGCGTGGGATTACAGGCTGAGCCACCGAACCCGGCGATATATTTTTTATTAGACAAAAATTATCTCCAGGTTATACTCCTCCAAATCACTTCATTACTCCAGGGTAAATAGGGAGGGTGAGGCACAGGGATCAAGCTGTTTTGGGTCAAAAACTGCTGAATACTAAAAGCGGTATGGGCAGGTGTGCTCATAAATCACCCATCATGATATGGGCAAACGGGTTGAAAAAAATCTAAAAAAAAAAATCACTGAGGCTAAATGCAGCTTCTCACAACAACGCTATTGGGTACACTGGGGCTGATGGACTCCCAGAACACTACCCTAGCAAGAGAAGCCTGTACTACAAGAGACCTGCTCGCCAAAAAAAGATAATTCCAGTTTTTTGAGGGGGTCCCCTTCATAGAACAAATTAGTCTTTCTATTCACTGTGGGTTTCCTTCTATCCATTGTAGTCTACATTTGATGAGTATTTTTTTTTAAACAAGTTCATCTTCCTTTGGTGTTGGTTGCATTTCTGCTCTTAGCACTGACTATGCCCAAAACATCTTTTGTCCTTGTCCCCAAGAAGGTCAGTTTGTGTAGCCACCATCAGAGCTACAGAAGGACATGAGACTAAGATGCCATCTCCTTGCAGCCCCAGGTGTGTCCATCACGCTGATGTGTGAAGCTCATTCACTAATGAATGATGATGACCTACTGGAAAAGAAGACTACTTAGTTCCTAATGTGGGTATCACCCCAATTCTCACTCCATCCCCAAGTTTAGCACTCCAGTGCCTCCCCATCTAGTTGGGAGAATGCAGGTAATGCCTCTCTGGGTGGAATCATGTCCAAGGTTTACCCTTAATCCAGGAAATAAAGCAATACTGGCACAATGTGGAAAAACCACATAACAAAACAGTCCTCTGGCCTTGGCTTTCAGATAAGGAACCCACAGAATTTTCACATCCTTGGGAAATGGCAGAATAGTTTCCTTGCATCTGAACGTCAACTCTCTCTCTCTCTCTCTCTCTCTCTGTCTCTCTCTCTCTCTGTCTCTCTCTTTTCTTCTGCCCCTTTTTTCCACACAAGTTAGTCCTCTCGGGCAAAATTGTCAGCCATCTATTTCCCAGCCCATACAGCCTTTATTGAATGTTTGTGAGATCTGGATTAAGGTCTTACATAGCTAGCAAAGCCTTAATTATTTTTGCCTGTATTACTATATATTGAATCGATGTAACTTTTCAATAAAGGCGGTTCAATTCTGGACACTCCCTGATGATTTAGAGATATAGCAACCCTAGTAATTATCCCAGAGTGTAAGGGTTTTTTTTTTTTTTTTTTTCCTGGAGGGAGCTGGAAAATGAATCAGACACATAGTGTGTAATATTATCTCGACAATCTATACTCATCAACTGTAAGAGACTGATGGATGAGGTAGAAGGTAGAACAATGAACGCTGCACGCGTAGCTCTCTGGCAGTAGAATTCTCATGGATGTTTGCAACTTTTAACCTGTCTATTGCATTTAAAGCCCCACAGTCCCTTCCTCTTTCTAAGTGATCAGAGAGTTGCTAGAGGAGCTTATGAAAGGGCAGAGCTGCTCCAGAAAGAAAATCTTCTCCATGCCGGAGAACAACAGATTTCAGAGGTTTCCCTTCCTCCTGGTACCACCTCCAGACTGGGTGTGCTGGATCCCTGCTAGGTGGTGACCCGACCCTTTTGCCTGTAGAAACCATGGCCAACAGATAGAACGCGACGTTGCATGGAAAAAAACCAAGCCCTTGCCTTGGGGAAGAGGGATGCTTAACTGCACTTTGCCCGATTCCTTTACCTTTGGCATTTCATGGGAAAGCAAGACTCTCCCCCTAGTCCAGGTGGAAGTAGGTGTGGGTGATGAGTGAAGGGTGAAGAGAGGAACTGTACTATCATGACCGCGGAGAGACAACAACTTTAGTAATTATCCCAGAGTGTAGGAGTTTTTTTATTTTATCTCCCGGAGGGAGCTGGAAAATGAATCTGACACACAGTGTGTGAGGTGTCAGCACAAGCTCTGGAGTCCAAATATCTCGGTTCAAGTCATCAGTCACTTGCTGTGTGGCCTCAGTCAAACAGCTGAACTGAAAGAAGTGGAGACAGTGGCATGGCTCAAAAGAGGTAATTTGCGGAAGGCACTCAGTTCAGCACCTTGCATGTGTGCCCAGTAGCAGTTAGCAGGTTCTAGACAGTGTGAGTTTCTCGTGCCCTCTGCAGATCATTAAGGCCATCTCACCTCGCAGTGGTCTAGACCAGAGCTCCTGCCCGGCCTATGACCAGTCAGGCACCTCAGTCCACATTCTTACTTTAAAGAGATGGTGCTCCTTGCTTCTCAGTTTCCTGCAATCCCAGGATTCCTTCACTGTGGAGAGCACATTAAATGTCAATTTGGTTTCCCCCCTCTCTGCATCTATAGGGCACCTCGTCATGCTGGACACTGAACTTTCCTTCAACTGGTCCAAAATGGGGAAAAGCAGAAGGCAAGGCTTCTGAGGGCATCCTTTGTTGACCCAAGTCTCCAGTGCTGGGCTGTAGGAAATAGCCTTTACCTTGTCAAGCCCTTCACCCAAAGTAATTCCCAGCAACCTTTAGGGATAGCTATTAATTTTCCTCTTTAACAGACTGGGAAACGGAGGCTCTGAGAGGATAATGACAAGGACAGACTCACACAGCCTGGAAAAAGCCTAACTAGAACTCTAGCACACAATGGGAGATGTAGAGGCCAGCACTCTTTCAGTGGTCAAGAGTTATAAGGCTGTCCTCAAAATTCTCTTTAATTTCTCCACACATCATTGGGTATTTTCACAGTTGTTTGCAATTTTTAAAGCTATAGCCTTAAATTGACAGGAGCTTTTTTTCTTCTCCTTCTCTACCTCTTTCTCCTTCTTGTTTTATTTTTTAGAGATGAGGTCTTGCTATGTTGCCCAGGCTAGCTTCAAATTCCTGGGCTCAAGCGATCTTCCCACCCAGCTTCCCGAGTCACTGGGACTATAGTTGTGTGCCACTGTGCCCAGCTCCTTCTTCATTTTAAGGTTCAAATCACCAGAGAAATTTGGAGGGAATTGTAGGATTCAATAAAGAGTTGGGACTTTGATTCTATAGAAATTAATGATCACAGAGCCTGTGGCTACATGTAACCAACCAAGTCATTGCATCTATACAAACAGTCGGCCAGGCTCGGTGGCTCAGCCTGTAATCCCAGCACTTTGGGAGGCTGAGGTAAGTGGATTGCCTGAGCCAGCGGGTTCAAGACCCGCCTGGGTAACTTGGCGAGACCTCATCTTTACAATAAATCAAAAAGTTAGCCGGGTGTGGTAGTGCACGCCTGTAGTTCCAGCTACTTGGAAGGCTGAGGCGGAAGGATCACCAGAACCCAGCATGTCGAGGCTGCAGTGACCGGGAGTGGCCACTGCACTCCAGTCTGGGCGACAGAGTGAGACTCTAACTCAAAAAAAAAAGAAACAGTCAAAAATGTGCTGCTCAGCTCCCCACTCAGCCCAAACATCCATGGCTAGGGGTCCCGGAGAGGGTCTCTGGCCATTTCTGCTGTGGCAACCCTCACAGGGACCCTCACTAAGCTCTTGTCTCACTCAAACCTGACTGTGGTCACACCACAGGGAGCCTTGGACGTGCTGTAAGAGGCAGGATGGGAATTCTGGGCCCTGGGAGCCAAGAAGAAATCTGTCCTGGCCACCCTATGTAGGCTGAAAGCTGGCCAGGCCCCACAGGGAAGTCTTCCTGGGCAGAATAGGCAGAGAATATCTGAGATGATCCCTACCTCCCCATGAGAGGAAGGAGGGAAGGGAAGGTGGAGGTCAAGTTACCTTTTTGTCCTTTAAGTGAAGCTGAGCATACCTGCCAAGTTGCCAGGACTGAGGAGAGGGGCACATCCTACCTGTCTTTCTCCCATCCAACATGGAGGGAAGCCTGTTCCCTTCCAGGGTCTGTCTTGTCCCTCTCACTCTGCATTTTCCCCGTGAGACCAGCTGGGCCTCCACTAGGTTTAAGGTCCAGGAAACTTAGAAGGAGGAAATGTCATCACTGAGACGGTCGTGGAGAAGGGGAAGGAAGATACAGAGCATATTCAGCAATTGCTTTCATTTCCCGGTCTAGACATAAAGCCATTGTAGAAAAGGATCTGGGCATATCCCCTAAGGATGGGAGGGAAGCCAGAGGCGTCTCATGAGAGATGGGGCAGGTGGAGCCACTTAGCTACAGCCTCAGTCTGTCTCTCTGTGGATTAGACATCTGGATAAAAACAAAACAAAACAAAAAAAACCCATCAGATACACAGATGTTTCCAACTACCCACATAGTGGGTCACCTATAGACCCAGCTGCTTCATCTAGTTAGAAGTAAAAGAATTTTCAGCGACTCTTCTGAGCCTGGTCTGGACAAGTCACTTGCCTTTGAGGAGACGCCACTGTCTAATGTTGGCACGGGACAGGAACCCAACGTACCTCTGTCCCAGAGCTCTGCTCAGACCCGACTGGAGAATGACGCCCTCAGGTGTCCCAAAAGAACGAAGGACCCACACACTATGATCAAGCCACCAGGCAGCTGCAGTCCCAAGGACAGCGCGGCCCATCCAAGGCTCCCTGTGAAGCTCTGCTGACCTCAGAGGTTTGATCCATGAGGGGTTAACTGAACCTCTGCCCTTTGGGGCTCTATCCCGCACTGCTTGTCCTGAATGTTTTCATGTCAAGATGCGAGAGGAGGGTTTTCAGACACGGGTCCCCAGTGAGCCCAGTGCCAGCAGTTTCCAATTTGCTTCTTTGTCGTCCGCTGCCTCCCCTTCATGATGAGATGATTAGATTCTCATGTACTCATCACATTTGTGTTACGTCATGTCATATTATATTTTAGGACATGACTCGAAAATGGGTTTGACGGGTGATATTAATTTCTGTTCTCAGAAACAGTAAGTCTTTTTCTATTTCTTCCCTCCCTCCCCCGCCTCCACCCCCCCACCCCCTCAGGCACCTGCTATCAATTTGACTCGAATGTTACCAGAATTCTTAGAACTTGCCGGTTGCTTCTGATGGCTCCTGTCCACGTGGGCCAAGGCAATGTGTATGCACTGCGGGTGGCAAGTTGATTAGGTAAGCAGCGAGATGCACGTGGCATCCGATGGGGTGACCGGGCACTTTCTGGGAGACAGAGGAATGGCATCGTGGACACCATAGGGCCTGGGGAGTCCAGACACTTCTGGATTGTATATATGGCTTCTACCACAGCTAATTTCAGGACCTGCAGGGTTTGCCGACATCTCTGCTTTTTCTTCCATCTCGGTTTTAGACGCAGTACCAGCCCCGCCGCATAAAGTCATCCATGCCCCATGATGGAAACACCAGAGCATCTCTTTGTAGGTAAGTGGCTGGAGCTATAAAATGACGTTGTGCTGTTTGCTCTTACTCTGTTGGCCCTGTGGCACAGCTACCATGCGTACCCACCCCCCAAAGTGGTACCGTCGCTTACCTCTGAATCCATTTCCATTGCCACTGGAGCAGGCGGGCGAAGGGGAGCCTTGGGGCCTGATGACAGGGGCAAAGGCACTCTTCTGCTTGACAGCAGGAAAAACTGAAGAGGAAAACGGGAGGATGGAGGACGAGCTGGAAGATCCAACAGTGGGACTGGATGACATGACTGGAAAGCAAACACACGGTCCTCTTTCAGAAAGGGGCCTCATCCAGAAATTAAGATCTTTCTTCAATCCACACATTGGGCACACATCTACTTAGAATTATTGATTTCTAGGCATCATTGCAGATTGCAGGCACTAAAAAAATAGTTGAACGTGACAATATTCCCACCCTGTCCAGTGGGAAGAGCGGACACATAAAACAACAAACACAGTAATGATCCTATTAGCAGAAGGCACACAATACCAAGAAGATGTAGAGAGCAGAGTGCTCTTGTGCCTGGGAAAATCAGGGAGGCGTCAGCAAGAGGTGACATTGGGACAGGTCTTAATTCGTGAGTAGAAATTTGGCAAGAGAAGATGACCTAAGACCAAACATGCCTGGAAAAAAAAAGAAGTCATCAAATCTACCCAGCAATGGAAATCACTTCTTCACCCTAAAAAGAAGTCCTATCTGGGAGCTGTGTGCCTCCCTGGTAACTCCTAGGGCCCCAGAGGTTTGGTCTGTAGGGTTCCCATCTTCTCTGACAGTGCTATCTCTATGGGCCACTTCCTCATGAAATGTAAAAGTTTATTAACATTTAGAAGATTGTTTCCCTCCCCCGCACTTTCAGTGCTCCTGGGAAATAAAGCTGCAAGTCAGCCTCCCCTGACATAATGTTTAGAAAAAAACACCAGTATTAACAATACTAACGCTAAAATGACTTAAGGGAAGCCAAAAACTAAGCGTTGCAATTTCCAAGAAAAATAAAGGCAATTTACACGATAAAGTGCCCCACCTCTTAATGTCAGATACTCCACCAAGTTACATCATGCAAGAAGTTAGTTTTATCTTCTATGTTCAACTTGCTCAAGAAAGGGGTAAACCAGAGTTCACAAGGGTAAACACTTTAGACATAGCACCTAATAGCGTAAGGTTAAGTTTCAGGGACTCACGTTGGCATAATCCCCAGAATTCTGAACTGTCCAAGTCACAGGACTTAGAAAAAGTAACTGTTGGGCCCTGATGGCAAAGCCAGTGGTGAAGACTCACAGCATCACTAACTTCTGCTTAGTATTTTTAGTGGACCAGCTAGCTCACAAAGCACATTTTGAAAGTCAGGGCATGAGCGAGACTTTTGATTAAAAGCCCAAGAGTAAGGTGAATTGAAGGTCAACGACTCAGCTGGCCTGTAGAAGACTCCGCCCTCATTTCCCCACTCTCCCTATAAAAATGAACTTTGTACTACATTCATGCAATTGCATGTGTCAAGCATTCATATAATGCACCTCCAACACGATGGCTTTTATGGCAGAACTACAAACAAAAGACCTCAAAAACAGAGCTTTCTCTAAAAACGTATTCTTAGGTAGTCCTGATTTAAAGAGCTATGCAGAAGGATGCGTCTGAGTATATCTCGGTCTTTTCTCAAATAATGTAAATAAAAGGAAAACAATCAGAAAGGAGGACAAAGTTCTGGAAGACTCCCATGTAATACTTGAAGAGGGAAATGAATAAAAAATTTGGTTAGTTCACTTTAATAAGATACAAAGTTAAGCATTAGAAGTGTGTTCCTAGCAAAATCTCCTCTTCTAGGCTTGTATTTTGCGTTAGTGAAATAGAAAATCAAAGACAAAAAACAAACAATAAAAAAAAAAGTGACTCTTTTCTCCAAAGCATGGAGTTTGAGGCCAAAGAAAAGCGGAGATTTGGGAGGTGCTGCTTCTGACCATGGTCCAGTCTCTGTACTACAGAATCTATGCAGGCCCCAAAAATGGTGCCTCAGTTTCTGTGTCTGTGGGAGCAGAACCTCCCTCAGACACCACATTAGAGAAGGTTTTTATAACGTGAATTAGGCATTCACACACACTCAATTCCATTTATGTTCAGCATATGACTCATCTTTACAGCTAACTTTAAAAAAAAAAATAAAAGATCCCACCCCAAAGTGGAGCTCATTAGATTAAAAATGGTTGCTGCTCATGGGAAGAGGGGTTACCTCAAACCCTATTACATGACCTAAAAGAATTGTTGGAAAGTTTAATTTTAAACATTGCTCATCTTAAGTGTTTTTTACAAAAGTTTTGTAAAAATGCCAAATTATATTCAAATTAATTTAAAATTCGATGCAACTGTAATAAAAATCCTAAAATGAATTTTAATTTGTATATTTCAACAAACACAACTTCTGTGTTTATTTGTTTCAAAAAACAATAATGCTTGTAGGAGCCAGAAAATTTTGTTAAGATTGTTTTTAAGTATTAAATGGGGAGGGACTTATCTTAACATATTAAAATTATGATAAGTTTACATCAATGAAATCATTGTTGTACTAGCATACAAATAGGCAGAAAAATCTTTTGAGCAAAACAGAATCCAGAAAGCAGACCTGGATATATATGAGAATTCATACTTAATAAAGGTGACATTTCATATTAGTGGGGAAATAAATGCATGGAAAAATACACTAACCATTTGGAGACTAAATTTAGAGTACTTCCTCATGTTAAACACCAAAGTAAATCTACATAGATTAAAGAGTTATTTGTAAAAGCAAAATTATAAAAGTGCTAGTCGAAATACTAAGACGGTTATATAGTTTGCAGAATCCTTTCCCCCTCAAAGCCTAAGTAGAAGTTCACAAGAAAGATTTGCCACATAATGAAAAACTTCTGTTAACACTCAACAAAGACAAATGACAGATTAAGAAAAATATTTGCAATACTTATTTAGATTTGTTCATATCCTCAATAGCTCATAAGTTTTTATAAGTTAATTAGGAAAAAAAAAAAAACAACAACTCCCCAGGAGAAAAAAAACGGGCAAAGGACACAAAAAGCAAAGTCGGAAAAGGAAAGATAAAAATGACCAAGAGAGACCCATATAGAAATACTCAAACTGATTAGTGATAAAATGCTAAATAAGATAGAAACAAGATGTTATTTTCCACTTACTAAATGGATAACGATTAAGACAAAATTAACAGGGTGCGGAAACATACACTTTCTTTTCTGAGGGGAGAATTAACCTCTCTGGAGGGACTTTGACAATACATACCAAAGTATTTTAAAATGTGTATTCTTTGACCCAACTAATTTAATCTCCAGAAATTAATCCCAAGGAGATAATCATGAATGTGCCAAAAATAAAAGATCCAAGGGTATCTTTATAATAATGAAAAATTGGAAAATAACTTAAGTGACCCACAATAGGAAAAATTACATTAAGTCCTTAGAATAGAATGCTATGTGGAGATTTAATGCATTAAATCTCATGCTGCAGAAGAATATTTAATCACATGGAGAGATATACCCTTCAGATGGAAAAAAATTACATAATAACTAACATAAACCTCAAATCTACTTTTATTTTTTTTTAAAGTATGGTAGTAAAAGTCTAGAAGGAAGGGATAGATACCCAAATTTTTAATGATAGTATCTCTGGTTGATGAGATTGTGAATATCCTTAAATGTATTCCTTTTACTTGCCTATATTTTCAAAATGAAAATGTCTACAATGAACATGTATTATTTTTAATGTAGTAGGAACCAATAAAAGCGACTACCCTTTAAAATTGCTATTTCTTTGGTAAGAGATAGTATAATCCTTAGCAATAGGTATACTAGCTTTTTCAAATAAAATTCATATCCCTCTTTGATTTAGGCTTGACTGCCTATGGACAAACTTGTCTGTTAACCTCTCTGATAAAAACTTTAAAAAAGCAAGGAGACCAATACATTCTCGAATACCTGGGAAAAGCCTGGTGACTGTAGTCAACTTTTAAAAACAAACATCACTCCTAATATGTGTTCTCCATTCTTAGGACCCAGGTCTATATCACTGAAGGATTTCATGGAGCCTAGTTTCATATCCGTGACTTTGGTAATTTTACCCTTCCTTCCATCCTCTTTCATTGATCTTATGGCAGAATCTTATTAGATGTGCATCAGAGCAGACACTGCAATTTTCAAACTGTATCTATCCATGACTGGAAGGCTATACTTTAAAAGTTAACAATGGTTATCTCTGCATAGGAATGAAGTACATCATTTTTCTTTTCCTCTTTTTACCTCTACATGCTTTCCAAATTGTCTATAATGAAAATATTACTATTTTAATAGAACTTTTTCTTTTCTGAAGAAACAATTGAAATCTATCAGGATGTTAAAAGAAGTTTTTTTCTTTTACAGTGGGAGTATGCTTTCTTTTAACAATTATTTTCATATGTTCTCTATTTTCTATAATAATCATTTAATCTTTTACAATAAAAATGTCTTAATATTTATCTTTATAAATATGAAAATATTGACGCCCAGGGCATGGTCTAGGACTCTGTGAGTGAATTTGGAGTCCGTGAAGCCAGGTTGGATTCCTGCCTGTGTGGACTCTGTCCCAAACTCTGCATTGGCTTGGTGGCTCTTCTGCCTTGGAAGAAGTGATTCCCTTGGGTGTTGCAGGCTTGTTGAATAGACAATCTTTCGGGACCACAGAGTGCACCATTTTAGGAAAGTTGATCACACATACTTCCAATTGAGAATTTCTCTGGACATTTATCTCTCTATGGAGAGAGGCCAAAGTAAAGGCAAGCACGTCTGGCTCAGAAATCTATGTGAACACGGGGAGTTAAGGAAAAACCACTTTTCTTCTTACAAGGATTGATTGGCTCGCAAGTCCCAGCTGGGCACATGGACCCTTTGCATCCATCCATTGCGTTTGTTGGCGCTAAGGGGTCTGTCAGCATTTCATTACAACCCCCTATTGTCAGGGGTTTAGAATTCAGCCATAAAAACTTGCACTGAGCTGGAACTTGGCACACACGGCTACCGCCAGGAAGTGAAGTTTGTATGCAAAATTGAAAAAACATCTGTTGGGCCATTTTTAAGTAGTGGGAGAGCAAACGCAGTAAAGATGCAGGTTTCTGATACTCTACGTTGACTGTCATGCAAGTTGAACTTGACCGAGGGGCTTGACTCTTATTTCTTTTGGGCTGTCTCTGGCAAGTGATTGCTCTGTGGCATGGTCCAGCCACATCAGATGTATTTTTTACAAAATAAAATAAAATCATCGCAGGATTGTGTTTTCAGACACAAGCAAGTAGATTGGCAAAATGTTTTCCCTTGAGCTTTTATATATAAATATATATTTCCCAGAGAAGAGTTCTCTGGTTAGAAATATGGGTCAGGTGCTATTGTAATGAACTCCACTGGGCATTCGGTATTTTTGCAGTAGAGGAATTTGATTGTAATGAGTGCACTGTTTGGAATCCCATTCCCAGCCTGCAACTCCTGCAGACCCCCTGCTCCAAAAGTGAAGGTCTAAACAATCACATCGGATGCAGCAGGAATTGGGAGGAGGTCCTCTCCAGGTGGGACGGGACACCTTCCTCTTTTCCTCTTCTTCCTATTCTGTGCATGCTGTCTTATTTTAACAAGTGATTTGAAGATTTGGGGTGTTAAATATTAACTATTTCTTATATTACTGAATACTTTAAGACATGACATTCCAAGTCTGATGACGAGTTCTGGTCCCATTTTTGCTGTCCGTTGGCCGCGAATCCTTGAGTAAGTCATTTACTAATGCTCACCTCTTATAAGGGAACACCATCATGATTTTAATTATTATATCCATGTCATAAGGTTGTCCTGAGGATTTTTCTTGCGGCGGTGGGTTTGGGTGACTATGAAAGAATAGTGGAAGGACGTCGTCACTTGCTGGAGTGGAAAGTGTTCCTCCCTACCAAATGAATTATCTAGGAAGAAGCACTAAACAATGTACACCCAACTGAGTATTTTCCCCTGCCCCACCTCTCTCTCTCTCTCTTTTTCCCCTCCCTCCCCACCACTACATGATACACTATTCTATAAAATTAACCATTTTTTTAGCCCACACAACTATTTCATGTGGTTCAACCTAATACATACGTGAACGTGAGACTGAGCCATATGAAATTGCCATTTTTGTAGCTCAAAATGGTTAGAGGAAATTTCATGCGGTTTAGCCCCATGTTACCATGTAACTATATTAACCGTTTCTTATATTATTGGATACTTTAAGACATGGTATTCTGAGTCTCATGGCATGAGTTCTAGTCCCATTTTTGCTGTCTGTTGGCTGTGAATCCTTGAGTAAGTCATTTACTAACTCTCACCTCTTATAAGGGAAAACGATTGTGATTATAATTATTATATCCATGTCATAAGGTTGTCCTGAGGATCTGAGTGAGCTCTTGATGTGAACATGCTGTCTAAGTTGCAAAGTGGAAGGCAACTGTTTGTGTCTATTAATGTTATTGTGCCACCGTTATGATGTCACATGATTTATATCCCCTGCTATTGCATCACTTGTAGGGGTTGTTAAAGATGTGGTCTCTCTACCACACCTGGAACCTTCTCCATGATGAAGCACAGGAATGACCTTTTCCAAGTCTCAACCACAGATGTATCCACATTCCTCATGAGCCACTTTAAAAAGTAATGTGCAGTCATAAAATACTGTAACAGATAGTGTTTCTCTCTTTGCTTCAGCCTCTTGTAAACTCAGAACCAAATTAATGGCTCCCTTGAATAAATCAAATGGCATTCATGCTTGTCCTTGGTTTTGCCCAATTTTTTTAACTATACTTTTTTCTTGGTTTCTTATTAGATTCTGTTTTATACTTTCACACTACCCATTTGACTATGATGATTCCCCCAAACATTTTTTTTTTTGGCAACAAGATAAGGTAAAAACAAGTAAAGAAACAAACGAAGAAGCCACTGGGTTCCCTAGACCACTGTCATCTAATCTGGACCATCTAACAAGACACAACACAGAACGCATGTCTTCGCAGCAACGAGATTTGAGTTATATCGGAATTGACCTCTACTACCCTTGACTACTTGGTACTAGGTCTTTACCAGACTGTGTAGTGTTGAGTATATGAATCAAACAGATAATCTAGAAATAATGCATGGGTGTTTATCCCCAGGGAACCAGAGGTCCAAAGTCGGAGAGAGGCAGCCTCTATAGCACATTTTTTTGCTTCCCCTGAGCAGTGGCGGATAGAGCTGTGTGCTGCCCTTGACGCTTCCTTGCTCCTAGCACGAGGGACCCACTCTGGGTGAAGGGAGAGCAAGCCGCAGAGCTTGCAAAAAGGCCCAGCATTTCCAGAACACTCCACTCAATCACTTCAGACTCTCCATGTCAGCTTGTCCCCTGGCCTGGAGTATTCCCTAAGTAGGCTGAAAAAAACCACACTCTCCCAGGCTCCTGGGACCATTGTGTAAGTTCCCAGTATAGCTCCCAGAGCAACCCAAATGAGTTTTCACAACTTCCCAGAGCAGGGACTTTGCTGCTAGACCATAGATTAAGATGAATTGGTTCTGTCTCAACATACCACATGATTGCACGCAGTCAACTTCCACCTCTTAAGGGAGGGGAGAGCCAGGTCACAGAGTCAAAAAGGAGCATGGTGTGATACACAAAATAACTTAAAGTCACCAATTCTAGGCCCAAATTCTTGTCTTGCTATAAGCTAGCTGTGTGATCTCAGGTAAGTCAACAAACTGTGATGTACCTTAAACTTCCTCGCCTATAATACGGAGATCATAGTGCTCATCTCAGAAAGAGCTTATGGAGATTAAATAAAATATAATACCTGAAAGTATCTAAGGGAGAGTGCACACACTGTTAACTAAAATGGAATCTTAATTTCTTTCTCCCATCTACACAAGCCACATAAACTTTTTTCTATACGAAGAAAATTGTGGCCAGGCATGGGGCTCACACCTGTAATCCCAGCATTCTGGGAGGCTGAGGCAGAAGGATTACTTGAGCCCAGGAGTTTGAGACCAGCTTGGGCAACATAGCAAGACCTCGTCTCTACAAAAAAAAGTAAAAAAAAAAGCTAGGCATGGTGGTGCATGCCTATGGTCCCAGCTACTTGAGAGGCTGATGTGGAAGGATCGCCTGAGCCCAGGAGTCTGAGGCTGCAATGAGCCATGACTATGCCACTGCACTCCAGTCTGGGTGATTGAGTGATAGCTTGACTCAAAAAAAAAGAAAGAAAGAAAATCATGACTGACAAGAGATTAATTAAGGGGTACAATGTACCTTATTGGGGTGATGGATACCCTCAAAGCCCTGATTTCACCATTATGCAATCAATGCACATAATAAAATTATACTTGTACCCCATAAATTTATATAAATGAAAAAAAGAGAGAAGGGAATCATTTCATTTCTTTTCTTTCCCCAGAAGGCCTTGCAATATCCCATGAGCCAAAGTCCGGTTAAGGGAAAACAACAAAAAGCAGGAAGGACAGTTCATTAGGACATTGGGCTGCTCCCCCATGAGTTGGGAAGATCTAGGAACCCAACTTCCCCCCAAAAGGCTGAATAGAGACAGAGAAGCATGGAGGGCCAGAGGGATGGAGAGGACACTTACTTCCATATGGGGAGCCTGTGGGTGAGCCGTTTAGAAATCCTGGTGATCCTGGAACGCCCAGGTTGGCCATGGGAACATTGCTGTAACCATTCATACTGTTACTGGAGGTACTATAGTTAGACTGCTGAGGCGTGGAGCTGGAAGAGTATCCCCGAGGAGAGATGCTGCTTGTGTTGCGGATGTAGCCTTGACGAGGAAGGAAAAGCCCAGGTAAACCGACTGGTCCACACAGTCAGGCCACATGTGGTTGGCACAGGTCCATGATGGCCCCAGACTATAGAAACCACCGGCTGGCCCTGGACAGCGGTGGGAAGTGTGCAGTGCGCCGTCAGCCTTTTAAACCACCTCCCTGTCCCACATCCAAGCAAGCCTGTGTCCCCGATATCCCTCCTTCCTCTTCTTTCAAACCTGCATTCAGCAACTCCAGCTCACACCAAGAAGTGAATGACTCATGGCGCTTTTGGAGTGCCTTCTCCTGAATCTTATTTCTATGAGGAGTCCTATGAGATATTAATTGGAGGCACTGAGATAAGCATTCTGTGGTCAACTGAAGCTGGGTAGATGTTATATACTGCAGCTATTTCTTGAAGATCCACACACGAAAGGTCTAGAGAATAAACTGGTTCAACTTTGCTCACCAGCTGGGGTCGGTGGCTCAGCCTGTCATCCCGCGCTTTTGGGAGGCTGAGGTGAGTGGATTGCCTGAGCCCACGGGTTCGAGACCCGCCTGGGCAGCGAGACCTCAACTCCACAATAAATAAAAAAAATCAGCCAGGCGTGGTAGTGCGTGCCTGTAATTCCGGGCTACTCAGAAGGCTGAGGCGGAAGGATCGCCGGAGCCCAGCAGGTCGAGGCTGGTGGCTGGGAGCGGCCACTGCACTCCAGTCTGGGCGGCAGAGTGAGACTCCAACTCCAAAAAAAAAACAACTTTGCTCACCTAGGGGTACCCAAATAGAGCATAACATAGCGTCTTTTCTCGAAGGGATGGAGGGGAAAGGTAACCTACTAACGTCCCCAGGGCTACTTGTATTCTACAAAACACAGTTTTGGAAATGTGAGTTCAAAGTCGTTGCCACATCCTATGTGAGGGGGTTTATTTTCATTCGAAAAGTGATGCTGAGAGTTCACCTAACATGCTGTTCTTTGACATACACGATGAGGCATTAGCAACTGAGCACAGAAGCATACTGTTTGTGACTGGGATGAGTGGAGGGATGATAAATCTTCCCATATTTCTAACACCTTAGCATAGAGACATCACCTAATCTATCCTGAAATAACCACTTTGGATCACTGTCTCTAAAACTATTTAGGAAACACCCCAAATGTGTCACTCAGTGAAAAAGGATTTGATATATGGTCCAGGGGTCCCATGTCAAAGAAGGAGAAGGAGAAGGAGAAGGAGAAGAAGAAGAAGAAGAAATAATATGCCCCACCTACTCTTTTTAAATAAAAACTTGAATCCCAGCACTCTGAGAGGCTGAGGCAGAAGGATTACTTGAGCCCAGGCGTTGGAGACCAGCTTGGACAACATAGCAAGACCTCGTCTCTATAAAAAAACAAAACAAAACTAGGCATGGTGGTGCATGCCTATGGTCCCAGCTACTTGGGAGGCTGAATGGGCAAAGGAATGAGAAATTCTCTTTCAGTGAATGAATGAACTTAGAAATAAAACTATCTCAAGGTTAGAGACATCATTAGGAATATTTACTCCCTTTAGAAAATGATTTGTGACAGTTTGAGACTAGCACTTTGATTTAAAAAATCAATCACAATGAAGGAAACCTTTACATGATATACTTTATATGTAAAAGCACAGCTGACTACATTTGTTTGCTGCTATATATTTGTATATGAGATAATGCAAAATAGAATTTACCAAATAAAACCAAACTATTCACTTTTGGTTACCAGGATGAGAAATCTGGGTATAAAAAATGATAATGGTAATAATAAGCCTCTCTCTAGTATCCAATTACAATAGCAGAAGCATAATATTTTTGATTAATGTCTGTAAATCTAGTTTCCATAAGCTTAAACTCTTCTAAATTCATAAAAGTCAATGTTATCCTTAAATATTTCCAGTCAAAGGGATTCCACCTAGGACCTACAAAGCTCAAAATCTAATTACGTACCATCTATGATGTTGAAATCATTCAGTTTGTGAGGATTGTCTGTCTGGGAATATACTCTGTTTACAGTTATGCCTCAAGCTCTGACTCCTACCTAGCGGAAGGAGTCTGTTTTAGATGTATAACACATATTCGGATTTTGACTCTGAGGAAGGTAGTACCTTGATTATTTCCTTGTGTGGACTCGGAGATGCTGACCCCAAGCTGGCTGCCATAGGAGTTGATTCCCATCATGCCACTGTGTGCCGGGGAACTAGAAAGAGCTGGAATCTGGCTGGGGTTCCTGGGTACACTGTAGAGGGCTTCGGCAATGTCTGCGGCTCGCTTCAGAATGATGTCCTACAGAGCAATAGTTGAAGTGAGCATCTTATCCAGCATGAAGAGTCAAACGCAACAGAGTGAAAGATGAAAGTGTCTAACCTGGTTATTGTGTGGTGTGCCATAGAGGGCCTCCACCAGATCTGCAGCTCTTTTCAACAGCATTTCCTGGAAAAGAGAGAGAGAGAGAGAGGGAGAGAGAGAGAGAGAGAGAGAGAGAGAGAAGGGGGGAGAGAGGGAGGGGAAGGGAGGGGGAGAAAGATTGAGAGAGAGAGGAAATGGGGTATAAACAAAGGCAAAATCCAAAATGGCAAACAAAAGATAATTATGGACAAAAAGAAAGAATCTGCACATCCCCCCACATGTAAATAGAGCCAAGATGACTTTGGTTTGATTTGACAGGCAGAATACAATCATATGTATAAATCCCTCTATAAATATATATCTAAGTGAAATTTCCCTCTACAAAATGGCTCCGTAAGTGGTTGTGCGACCAAAGGAAAGGACAGTCGTCCAAATTGAGGGTGGAGTTGGTTAGAATTAATAATGTCATGGAAGTTCTATTAAGAACTACTTTCGGACTATTCTATTTTTAAAAATCTGGTTCTTCAATTAAGCAAATATTCTTAAAATGATTGATGGACCTGAGTTTAGCCGCTTGCCAAGGAGTTGTCCATAGTACTGAAATGATCCTGGCAATGCCTTCTGCAAAACTTTATTCTAATAAAGATGAATTCTTTCAATAATATTTCCCCTTGTTCACTTTAACCAGAGAGAATTGGTAATCACGAATCCCTTTCCTCTCATTTTGGCTTTTCCACCTCCTGTTTTTTTACAGCCTTTTAAACTGCTATTAACCTACTTTCCAGATATCATCTAATTTAATGGTGGGGCTGGGAGATTTTTCCAGAAGGAAAATAAAGGTATCCTGTAGAAACAACTGCAATGCTTAAATTTTACTCACAGAACATGGCATTTCATAATTAAAGTGCAAATGTAGATGTAAAAGTTTAATAGCTTCTCATTCGTTAGTCGAGTGACAACTAATAAATTGATGTACCTTTTAAATAAAAGCTAAATTTGTGGGACAGATTCATAATGTGATTTGCACAAGTTCATTTAAAAGTGATGTGTTTCATAGAAAATTTCTCCTCATTAAATACCTATGTGCATAGTAGGCCTTCAATGGATATTTAATCGATTGTGGAATAATGGCTCCCTGAAATTACGAGTAAACAAAATCATAATTAAATTCAAAAGAGTAGGAACTCATGCTCTCAGACAATGATGCAAATATTTATTTTCATAAAGCTGGCAATGCTTTATAAGTTAATACTTCTGCAGCGTATCTGTTTCCTAAGCTTAAATTTCAGATTTCATATTTCCTCAGAGGTTAATACATATAATCATAATATATTTCATAGATATATACTGTAAGTATCTACTTATATGCTTATAGATAAGTAGATACTTTAAGTGCATCTTGTATCCAAAACTTAGCCAGATTTCAAGGCAAGGTCTAATTAATTTTAATGGGACATAAATGCTTAAGTTTGCTGAAATTCTACGAGAAGGTTTTCACATGTCAATTTACAAAGCATTTTACCTTAGCTAATCTCTCAGGATCTCCAGGATGCCTTGGGATGACTTTCTGCAGTCTTTGGAAGCCATAGTCTATGGTGGGTTCATTTAACGCTGAAAGATAAAAATCCTCTCTTTGAGTATGTATACTGGTCATAGAACAAAGCTCTTAAGTCTTCCATGGACTATAGTAAGGTTCTGGGTGCAAAATGGTTGCAATCAGGATATAATCAGTTTTTTGCTATTGACATTGTTTAATTCACACATAAATTTGGAATTTATGAGGGGAAAACCCCCCCAAAATCCAGAATTTATTTACAGAAAAATTGCTCTTACATGTTTAAACTTCAGTCACCTTCCAAGTACTCTCTGTTTGATGCTATACACCTATTGCAATGCTTTTTCCATGGCTCAAACCAGTTTTTTTGAACTCATCCATGTTGATGCCTTTTAATGCTTCTGCCATTTTTTGTTTCACCTCTTCCACATCAGTGAAACGTTTCCCTTTGAGGATTTTTTTCGTCCAGGGAAACAAACAAACAAAAAAATTCACTTGGGGCAAGATCAGATGAGTAGGGAGGGTGGGACACAGTGGTCATGACGTTTTTGTCAAAAACTTCTGAATACTCAGTACAGTGTGGTCAGGTGCATTGTCATGGTGGGAAAAAAACCACAACTTGGGACATTTCTTCTACAAATCATGATGCAACCTTCTCAAAACTTCCAGATAAAAACTTTGGTTGAATAATTGACCTGGAGGAACAAATTTCGAGTGTACTACAAGGGGTCCGCCCTCCAAAAAGATAATTTTGGGGGTTTGGGGGTACGTCCTGTACAGTACTTTTATGTTTTTCCATTAGAATAACATTTTGAAATTCAGATTATTACAATTATCTTATCATTTCTGCCTTAAGTGCACACACTTAAAATTCTCTGCTTCCTCTCAAATAATACAAACTTATGCAATCATATTCCAATTTCATATGAAGATAATAAACTCCCTTTATATTATTTTCCTGGTTCTCCTTCCCAAGTATGCCTTTATCATCTATACATCTTCCAGATATCACATTTTTCTTAATCAGTCCCTTAAGTATTTACATGCATGCATATATAAACCTTCTGTGATCTCATTTGCATAAAACCCTGTTCTAATGCATACACTTCCACTATTTGCGATATTTAGTTACACGTACATTTTTTGGAATGTCAGGCTCCCCCACTGTACTACAGGGCCATGGGGGTAAAACTCACTTTGTCTCACCACCATGATGGCATTAGGACAGGGCCTGGCACACAGTAGGCATCTGATGTCAGTAATTGTAAAATGAATGAGTGGATGAGCGCACTTTGACATGTCTACAACGCTAAAGGGTTTTCAGATTTGATTATTTTGTTCTTTCTCCGTCCTCCTCCCTTATTTTTAAAAAGTTTGCTGCTTAAATTTCAAGGTTTTATTTATTTATTTACTCTTTAAAAAATTTTAGAATCGTGGGGTGCATGTGAGGATTTGCAGCATAAGTACTTTGCGTGAAGGTGAAGTTTAGGCTTCTGATGAGCCCTCCCCTGCCCCAGTCGTGGGCACGGTACCCAATGGGTGGTTTTGTGTTACTTATGCCTCCTCTCAAATTTCAGGCTTTTAAATGAATGCGTGATCACAGTAAAGAAAAAGATACAAAGAATAAAATAATAACCACCTGTACTACTCCTCACAGACCACGATAAGCATGGACGTGTTTATTTCCTTTTATTTACTTTATTTTAAGTTGGAGTCTCACTCTGTCACCCAGACTAGAGTGCAGTGGCATGCTCCCAGCCACTGCAGCCTTGACCTGCTGGGTTCCAGCAATCCTTCCGCCTCAGCCTTCTAAGTAGCCGGAACTACAGGTGCATGCGACCACACCTGGCTGATTTTTTTATTTATTGTAGAGACGAGGTCTCGCCAAGTTGCCCAGGCTGTTCTTGAATCCGTGGGCTCAGGCAATCCTCTCACTTCGGCCTCCCAAAGTGCTTGAGCCACCGTGCCCGGTCATATTTCCATTAAAATCTTCCTTTTTACATTCATATTTTATAAATATATGCCACTATGATTCTAACTGTGAAAACATCTTTTCTTTAAAGAAATTATTTAAAGTGTTAGATCTAGAAGTAAAAAAAAATAAAAATCATCATCAACCCACCACTTAAGAGATGTCCTGGAGTAATGTTTTTGCTTATATCCTTTCAGATTAAAGCACACACATACTTAAAATTATTCAGAGAAATACTCTTCACATTGTTACATAACCTACTTTTCATCCACTTAACAATATATCATAAATGTTTCCCCAGGTTATTAAATATTCTTTTATAACATTATTTAAAATTCCTGCATATTTTTCCATGACATGTTCTATAATTTATTTAAATGACTTCCTAATGTTGGGCATTTATGTGATTCTAATTTCTCACTATTATAAAAATCAGAGCAATAATTATCCTTTGTGCATAACTTTAATTATTTCAATCGGAAAATTCCAAGAATTAGAATTACCGGACCAAAAATTATGATTTATATTTAATGCCATTCACAGTCAAATCACTCTTCTGGAGAAAGTAAGAATTTATGCTCCCTCCAGCAATGCATGTGGTCATATTAACTTACGTTTCGTTATTCACCAGTGAGGTTGAAAAATTTTTTTTTCTTAGATTTGCTGATCATTTTAATTTCTCCTTTTATGAACTGCTTATTAATACTTTCTATACGCTTTTCTTTTTTTACTTATAAAAACTCTTAACATACTATGATTTTTAACACTCTGTCGTCATGTTACAATATCACGTACCAATTTGTCCTTAGGCATTCATCCCCGTCCCAAGATTTGGTAAGTACACACACACACCATCACACAATGTTTATGCTTGACAAAACTTATGGAATTTCACAATTTATTGAATGGTTTCTAGATGGTCTATTCTGCTGTATTGATCTATGTTTCGCTATTGTGGTTGTAATACATGTTTAATATTTGATAGTATAAGTGTTCTTCCACAGATAGACAATTTTTTTTTTTGAGTCAGGGTCTCACTCTGTCACCCAGGGTGGAGTGTACTGGCATGATCATGGCTCATCAGAGCCTCAACCTCCTGGGCTCAGGTGATCCTTCCACCTTAGACTCCTGAGTATCTGGGACTACAGGCGCAGGCCACCATGCCCAGCAAAGTTTTTTATTTTTTGTAGAGACAAGGTCTTGCTATGTTGCCTAGACTGGTCTTGAACTCTTAGGTTCAAGCAATCCTCCTGCCTCAGCCTCCCGAAGTACTGGGTTTAGAGGCATGAGCTACCACGCCTCACCCACAATCTTTTAAAACTACATTTTCTTAACAATTCTTATCCATTTATTCTTCCAGATTAACCTTAGGGTCATTTTAAAAAGATGTTTCAGTTGCACTAAACCTACAAAGAGAGAAAATGAATAACTTTGTAATATCGATATCCCATCTTCTCGAGTTCCTCCAGGAAAATGTATAGGTGTTCATTACACAGGTGCTCAGTTTTTTGTTTTTCATTTTAATTTTTTACTATGTATTTCACTTTCTGTCTTTACTGTGAATATGATTACTTTTTCATCATATTTTTCAAGAGTGTTTTTAGTCTCTAGAAACACTTGATTTTGATATACCTGTGCAGGCATATGGCAAAGGTAGTGTGTGGCCATCTATAGTATAGACATTAAGAGAATCAGCTTTAGGGTCAAGTAGGTCTTGGGTTTGAATTCCAGCTCCACAATTTCTATGAGCTGTATAAAATCTATCTCATGGGTTTGCTGTGAAAATTATATAAACCATTTACATAATGGTTTTATTTATATAATGCCAGCATGATGCTTGGCATATAAAAGATTTAACCAAAGATAGCTATCTGTTATTTTGTAACCAGACCCCAGACAGATGTCATTTTTTTTTCCCCGTTCCTTCTCTGAGGCTTATACATTGATATCATCTATAGATAATGATCACTTTTGTCTCCTCTGATAGGTATATTCATCCCAGTTAGTTCTCTTAGTCCCATTCTTGTGTTGGCTAAACCTTGCCAAACAATGCCCCAGAATGAGGATAAGGTTGGGCATTTTTACTAGTTTTCCTTTAAATGGGAATGACACATATTTGATTACCAAATGCAATGTTGGTTATTTGAGATTGATATTATTTACCATGCTTCAATAAGGGTTTTTATCAGGACTTGTTGGAATTTTAGAAAATTACAATCATATGAATTTTCTTCTTTGACCATTTTTCCCAATAGTTCACAGTTAAACATTAACTACTGAATGTAGTATACAATTTTCTTAGTATATTTCTGAATTCAATTTAATATTTTCTCAAGACTACCAGTGAGGATTAAATCAATTAAGTTACCAGAAATAATGCCTGACACGTGAGCACTCCAGTGTCAGTTATTGTTATTAGAGATTTACATGTCTTTATTAATTACTAGGATTGTGTCCATGGCTCTGTCCAACTTATGATTGGTTTTTATTTTATGCCACCTTTGAAAAATGAATTGAGAAGTTTTCTGTATTTTATCCTACGTGCTATAAAACTTATATAGCATAGATAGTTGTATCTCTTGGCTAAAAGTTTGAAAGAACCCTAGTAAAATTGCTCTTGTCAAGGTCACCAATAACATTTTAACTAAATCAAGAGGAACTTGTCAATCCTTATCTTATTCCCAAGTTAGCATGTGACACTGCGCACATTCTCAACTTCCGGAAATATTCCCACCCACTGGCTTTCCGGAACTCATGCTGCCAGGCTTTCCTGCTACCTCTCCAGTCATGCCATCTCAGTCTACTGTGTAGACTGTTCCTTCTCAGCCTGTCTTGTAAATGTTGATGCTCCTCATGGTGGCTACCAAGGTCATTTCCTGCTTTGCTGTAACTTCTCCTAGGCAACGTCATCAATGCTCCATGATTTCCATGTCCAGCTACAGGCTGATCATCACAAATTTTCATCTCTAGTCTCTACAGCTTGCCTGAAATTATGCATCCTTCCGTTGGCTGGAAAATTCCACCTGGATGTCCCATAGGTTCCTCCCACCTGAGATACCCAGGCTCATAAGATTCTCAGCGAAT